TCCTTGACAGGTGCTCTATCTCGGTTCTCCGGTAAGGGACCGAGGCGACCCTTCAAAGGAACCTTGGATCTAGGAAGACCCGCGTTCTTACCTGACTCCGTCAAAGGGGCAAGGGAAACAGGATCTGGATTTGATGAAGGTTGGACGGCGATTCCGTCCGCTTTTGCCTTTGGCGCCGGCTTCGCCTTTGGCACCCACATTTGCTTGTGTTTTGACGGCTTCTTTACCGTCTCTTCTTTCTGCATCTCTTCCGCTTTCTGTAGAAGAACTCGAGCATGCGCAAGCAATGCGCGGCGTTTCTTGATTCGTTCTTCGAGGGTTGAGCGAGTCCTCTTGACGCGAACCCATTCGTTCGTCTCTGTCTTGGAGGAGGAGTTGGTTGTGTGCCGTTGTTGCTCTTGGCGCTGTCTGGCCTTTAGATCCTCATTGTAGCGGATCCCGTCCATCGATTCTACGGCCTTGGCCAACTGTCGCGCAAGGCGTTGACGCCGTCTTTGGCGTTCTCTCTTCGACAAAGCTGGAGCACCTTCGACACTTGTCTTTACGGCGGAGGGCAGATCTGGATCTGCGGCTTCAACCGTGTTGGACGTCATAGGAACGTCATGGGGAGTAGATGCAACAGCGAGGGGATCTCGGATCTTCGAGTCGGAGGTCCCGCGAGCATTTCTGGAAGATGAAGTCTTCCTGCGCCTGTTTGGAGAGGCGGATCTGGAGGAGGAGGAAGAGAGGTACTCTTCAAATTTTTGTTGATCGAATTCGTATTCGATCTCTTCGTTCACCCGGATCTTGAAGGCCGGTTGCGTCACGACGGCCTCGGCAGCGAGGCCGTTGGCTCCCACTGTGATCGCCAGTTTGTTTTCGCCAAAAGTTGCCTTCATCATTGATTTCATTAAAAACTTCAAACGTTACAAATGAATTCGAATAACAAAGAAATAAAAATTACAACTTTCTTGAAAATAAACACAAGATCCGTTCGTCGTCTCTTGCTTGCGTGGGTCTTTAGCCTGTGACGGGGACGTCGATATCCGTGGACCACCTGGCAATCGGATCTGATCCAGAGCTTCGTCGATCCGTGAGGAGATCTAGAAACTTGAAGCGCCTATCTAGGATAAAGCGAGATATTTGCTCTTCTTAGGATTACCGACGAGGGGTAATGCTAAGGATCGGGTACGGGTGACGTAGATCTGACGAAGAAACTCTCTTGCGTTGAAGTGCACGATCACTCTTCACTCCGGCAGGGCTTCGCCAATTCTCCAAAACTCCAGATCGGAAAAAATGAGGCCTAAGGCTTGTATTTATAGGCATGAGGGGTTGCGGAGCGGTTAAAACCACTTAAAGGGATCAAATCCGTGCTGAGACACCCTTGGGGTGTCTCGGACAAACCGAGACACCCTTGGGGTGTCTTAGCCAAACCGAGACACCCTTGGGGTGTCTCGGTTCCAAGGCCGAGACGCTCCGTTGAGGTTGGCATTCGTACCGCGTTCCGTGTAAAAATTTTACGTCCGAATCGGATTTTGAGTGATTCGAAGTGGGCGTTGGAAGTCCGACGAGAGTTCTTATGCAGCTCGCGATGGTTGGAATTATCTGTAGGATTGAACGAGACTACGAAGGGCGTTGTTCCTTTTGATAACATCGCGGGGCCCTCGATTAGCCCGTGCCTTCGTCAGTCGTCGATTCAACTTGTCAAATCGTTGCAATGGCGCCATCAATAGCGGAACTCACTGTGGGTCGGATAGTGACGTTCATCGTGCGTTCCTTAACAGCTGAGCTATTCATGGAGACCTATAGGTAATTTTCGATGCGCCTATATAATATATATATTAATATATCATATATTATATATAGTATATATTATATATATATATATATATATATATATATATAATATAATATATATTATATATATTATATATATATATATATAATATATATATATATATATATTATATATATATATATATATATATATATATAGAGAGAGAGAGAGAGAGAGAGAGAGAGAGAGAGAAATGGAGAAACTTGGTACCAAGTTGCTCCAAGCAACTTGGTAGTGATGTGGCATAATCTTGTCCCTACATCTACATTGGAGTTGGTGAAGGGTGGTTGAGGCTCTATTTTTGAGATGTGATGTAGGTGCAAGATTATGCCACATCACTACCAAGTTGCTTTAAGTAACTTGGTATCAAGGTTTTCCATTTCTCTCTCTCTATATATATATATGATGTATTCGGTAGGCCTTGGTAATTCGGGTTCACGGGAGCAGCCACACGCATAATTCGTGGGCAATTTGAGCGTGAGTGGTCCCCACACCCACGTGACCACAGGTGTTGGGGCTACTATGAGGTGTTTCTATGGGTTGCAATGCAAGAATAGGACATACAGAAAATGGGGTAACACAGGGCTCTAGTTCTATGGCTGCACACAATATAAGAATTTATCATTTAAGGGTTGCAGGTATTTTGCTTAGATCGATGACAACAAAAGTTTATTGGTGAAAATGTCAAAAGAAATCAATTTGTTGCGGGGGAAGTTGAATGGGGTGTTGCTCTTGATGAAGATCCTTCTAGTTGTCTTCGGGGTTTTGAATTTATGTAAATTGTTAGTTATTTGTCAAAGTTTTGAACTATTAAGCAATGAGAATTGACGTATTTTGACTCCTATGGGTAAAACTGCAATTGCTTAAACCTAGTTATCCTTAACTCAATTCTAGTTAGAGCATTTGAATGGTTATACTAATAGAGTGAGTTATTTTAATTTACTTGTATGATTTAGGGGAGGTAAAAGCTATTATAATGATTTGAGGGGTTTATCTAAAAATATGGGCGATTTGAGAGAGGAGCATCTAAAAAACATAATTTTATATTAATGATCAAGAATTGAAGAAATTATCGATCAATATCGACCAAAAAAAGGCGAAGTATACAAGACAATATATGGAAATACAAGGAAAAAGAAGAAGGGAGGAAAAGGGGAAAAAAAAAAAATCTTTGGATGAAGTATATATTTTATTAGAAAGCATAGTATGATACAATTGATTTAAGTAGTAAGGGCACCTCTTTTGGCGACAAAAAAAAAATTAGAAGTAAGAAATCGATCAAAGAAGTAACTTCTAATATTATGAGTTAGCAAGTATCAGAAGTAATATATATTTTTCATTTGTATCACACTTTTTTAAGTAGCGGAAATAATATATCTTCGCCTTCATTCACCATCTTTGTTTGGATAGCAGTTAAAAATATTGTTAGATGGTAGAAATTTTTTAGACATATTATTGAATGCCCTACATATTCATGGTGGAAATTTTCTAAATATTGTTGGATCTTTTCAATTCTTTCATTGACTTTATGCTCATCATCATAAATCACATTAAACCAATACCCTATTACTTAACTTTATATTCATGATCAAGAACTGAAGAAATTATGGATCAATAATGGCCAAAAGGCCATGTATACAAGACAACAGATGAAAATACAAGAAAAATAAGGAAAAACATCTATGTAGAAATATTTCATTCGGAAGGATAGTATAATGAAATTTATTAATTTAAGCAAGTAAGGACCCATTTAGATGACAAGAAATATTGAAAATAAGAAGTAAATCAATGAAGTAATTTTTAAAGTTATGAAATAGATTGCAGTGAAAGTGATAGGCGGTAAAAAAAACCTAAGTTGTAAGTGCACAACTATCAAGTTAGAGTATGAAAGATTTTGATTCCTCGAGGAACGTGATATAGGAGATAATCAAAATTGGTTTCTAAGTCGTGTGTTGCATGGACAATTAAGAGTGATAAATGAGGTTTGGAGAGATAAAGAGGGTGAGTGTGATTATATACAAATAAAAGAAAACTAGACTAAGACGGGAGAAGAAATTAGAGGAAAATAAGAAACAGATAAAGGAAAATCAAGAATGAAGAAGAAAATCACAAGTAAAAAATGGAGAAAAATAATTAGAGAAATGATGAATCTAGAATTGGATCCACTAGTCAATTTCACTTATTATATGCAAGATCAGAGATCCAAGAAAAAATAACTCCCGTATCGATTTATGTGATCTCTAAATCCTTCTATACAAAACAGGTCTGTCCAAACGGTTCCAAGAACCGTTTGGACAAGTCAAAATAGCCCAAACGGTCAGCACCGTTTGGGCTAATATATCCCAAACAGTTAAAACCGTTTGGGCGATTGAAAAATCCCAAACAGAGCTCCCAAACGGGTTAAACAGTTTGGAATATTATAGCCCAAACGGGTTCAACTGTTTGGGAGCTATGTTAGGTTTTCAAAAAGTAATTTTACAAAGAAGAATTTTTCACTGTAGACCCAAACCGATTTTTTATTATCAAAATCGACCGAAATTTTTTTTAATTACCAAAATCGACCCGTTTTATGCCACGTAAGTGTAATCCCATTTCCTAATTAGTCGGGGTTGCCAACCCCGACTGTTTAGGAGTTGTTAAACCCCAATTAGAAGCCTTAAACCTGATTTAATTAGGGTTTAACAACTCCTAAACAGTCGGGGTTGGCAACCCCGACTAATTAGGAAATGGGATTACACTTACCGTGAGACTTAACACGGAAGATGATAGAACTAACAACATCTAAGCAAGAACTAACAAAACCAGTAAAACAAATGACTTAGGCTCCCGTATGGATACCATGGGGTTTTTTGAGCTAAATCGTCTTCAACCCAAAACATTATCACTTTTTCTAAACGCCTAAAATATGTTTTAATTTTGGTGTTTTGGTTTTGAGTTTGAGAAGGTGTTAACATAATATCTAGCATAATATATTAAATGTAATTAATATAGAGTTAACATGTTAACGTAATATCTAACATAATTTATTGCTAAAATATGTTAATGTAAAGATAATATATTCATAATACCTATTTATAAAAAAAAAATCGGTCGATTTTGATAATAAAAACTCAGTTTGGGTCTACAGTGAAAAATTGTTCTTTTACAAATAATGTTTTCCGACCCTTTGTTCTCCCCAAACTTTTCAAGAGTGGCGTCCAAAATTTTCACCCAGCGGCCAGCGGCGCCAAATTTTCATCCCCAAATTCTCACCACACCCTCTCAAATCCGCCTCCACCTCCTTCAAACCAAAAAAAAAAAAAACGCCCCCCTCTCCCAAAATCTAGGGTTTCTCTCGCTCTCTTGAGCCCCCTTTTCTGGCTGCTCTCGCTCTTCTACTTCCTCAATCCCCTCAATTTCTCAAGCGGACTCTGATTCTTCTCTCGTCGACGGTGACCAGATCCCCGATTCGTCACTGTAGTTCGGTTTAATTCGCTCTGCAAAATATTGTCATTTGAAGATGTTTTGGAGAATCCCCAACTTCTCTGCTTCGTCTCCGGTGAGTATCAATAACTAATAGAACTTCGATTTGTGTCTACGTTTGAATTCTAGGTTAATTTGCTGGGTTTGTTGGATTGGTAAAATTTAGGTTGCTTTACGTGTCTTTTGTTCAATTTCATTGGTAAGTCGTAGGCTTTTTCGTGTTTCTAACTCAATTCATCTTTGCAATTAGTAGATTGATTTAATGTTTTTTAAAAAAAATTGATTTTTGGGTCTTTTTGCAGTAGGAATCCAACACCTGTTTACAGAATAAGTTTTCTTTAAGAGAAAGTAGGGTTAAACTGACTAGATATTGACTTTGGGTAGTAGTTATTTAGTCAGTTGTTTATTGGGGCTTCAATAAAATTGCTCGGAGGCCATGACACTGATGACCATAGATCTGTGTGGACTAAGTTTTATATAAATTACTCGATCGGTAAGTTTTTTGGCGAGTCCAATTTTAGTAGTCTGGAAAGAGGACTGAGGAAAGGTATTAAATTGATGAGCAGCGAGCTATATAATATGCATAATTAATTTTTATGAACCAAATATAGAGCTATTCACTGAATATAGCTTTTTGTCAACAAGATAGGTGTATTCATTACCCTAAAGAGGTTTGTAAACACTGAGTCATTAGTTTGGCATTACCTTTTATTTTGGGTTAGTTCCCGATGTGGCTTATTTGATGAATCCTTTTCTGAACTTTAGTATTGAAGGAAGACCAATGATTTGTAGCAAGAAATGTTGATTATATGTTTGCATCTTCAGCTAAAACTAGATTCGACTGCTAGTAGGCCTTTTTTTTTGTTTCAGGCATAGTGCATTACATTAGGCTTGTTCTCATATTAGTTTTTCAAGTCTTGGTATTTCATTTTAAGTTGAACTAGACCGGTCTCTTAAACCATCAAAACTTGAATATTCTGTTAACAAATATGTCACTTTTTTGGATCTGACTTTTATCATGTCTTGGTAATTCTTTTTTCTTAAATATATCTTTAATCATCATTCACATATTATGTTATTCATGACTGATGCTGCATTTTTTTTCCAGATTGAGTCCATATTGGACAAGGAAAACTTCATGCTGGAAGAACTTCTGGATGAAGAAGATATAATTCAAGTATGCAAAGCTTTAAACACCTGCCTTATAAATTTGTAATATATTTTTTCTATTTCTCTTAAAATATTTTCTGTAATTGGCAATTCACTTATTGAGCAGAGAAGAGTTGAAATTATCACTTGTTCATTCTGGGTTGGGTGTAGTAGGGCTAGTTTTGATTTTAAATATAAACAGATAAACAGAAAATAAATGGCTTGATTGATCCATTCTGTTGGTTGGCTGGCAGTGGTATTTCACCAATTCCTATGCTGATTGGCTTTTTGGTTTTAGTCATTACTGATCCTTTCTTTCTGCTTCTTCAACCTGAGAACTTAATCTAGTTTCAAAAAAATATATTGTTTCTTACGCGCATGCTTTTCTTCGTAGTTCACTAGAAAATACAGGCAGAAAGCATATGTATATAATTATTAGTATGTTCTACTAAATAGAATACGTAAGTCCATCCAAGGTACTGGCCTGTGCAACCGATGCTGAATGATGTCTGGTTTTGAGGGGGAAAGGAAACCAGCTTGCAAATCGGCGAGCAAATTTTTATATAACTTTATTCATAAAAAGTAATATTATGTTGAGAAAATGGACTAACTTGATACTTTATGTATCCAGCCTTAGAGACAGAGCTCAAGTAGAACAATTGGTGCGATATATTGTGGAAGATGCTCCTGCAGATGCTAAAAGCAAGCGAGCCTTCAAGTATGCTTTATTACTATTTTAAATTGTGGCTGTTGTATTTTTGGATTTCAGTGCAGTTTTTGTTTCTGTTTTTTCTTTTTCACTAAAGTTATTTTGTGAACCAGGTTCCCTTTCATTGCTTGTGAAATTTTCACTTGTGAGATTGATGTTATTTTGAAGACATTAATAGAGGACGAAGAGGTAGCTGATTGACAATTGTTCTTGCAAATCCTCTCTGCTAATAATTATTTGATCTGTTCTACAGAATATATCACTTTCTAGCTACCCCACTAACTATTGTTTCACTTTGGCAGCTGATGGATCTGCTATTCTTCTTTCTTGAACCAAACCATACACACAATTCCTTATTGGTTGGATACTTCAGCAAGGTGACATGAAATTTCCATATTTTGTTTAAAAGATTACGTTGTTTAAACTTCTAAATAATAGTCTACAATTTTGTTACTCTAGGTGGTTGTATGCTTAATGTTAAGGAAGACAACATCACTTATGAAGTATGTTCAGGTAAGTTATTGACCCATGTGAGCTGCTTTTTTGAAAAACTATTTTCTTTCACAGCTTCAAATAATTATTTGATTTCCTTTTTAGCTTATTTCCTGTTTAAACCTGAATCTAGCTATATAAATATTTTAATTTTATGTTGATAATATTTGCACTTCTTTTTATCTATTGAAAAGTTATTTATCTTCAAATACATAAGGAGAAAACCACAAGCATTAAGTTCTTGATATTTTGTCTGTATGCTGTATTGATTATAATTGTTAGTTTTATAATCTTGTCTATGCTACTTTTTTAACTAAGAATCAGTCATGTTTGCAATTTCCACTGGTTGCTTTTTTTAACCATGGTATTAAGATGACATTATTTTTAACGCTTGTGCTCTAACTGTTTGCAATTTCCACTGGTTGCTTTTGCCAGAATCAATTTTTTATATCAGGTCTTTCAGGAGATGATATTATAAAGAACCGCATTTTAGAAGCCCTATATAGGCGTATCAGGCGCAGAGAAAGTGCGATAAGTTCTGGATCAGCAGGCACATCATCATCAGGAGCAGAGAACACTGCAGTCATCACCGTTGGTTTAGCTCTAATATCAGTCGCTGCAGCATCGGCAATTCTTCTCCAAATCGACAAAAAAGCGCCTCAAGTTCAGAGTACAGAGTACTCTGGACCTCCACTCAGTTACTATATAGGCAAGTTCAAGCCTGCAAGTATTGTAGAGGCTGCAGTTATTTCTGAGCCTCAGAGTTCTCCAATTGTAGAGGCTTTTGCTCCTTCCGAACCCGAGACTGCGTCGAATGTGCAGGTTGAAGGTGATGCAAGTGCAGCTCCTGAGGTCCAAGTTGAATTGAAGGTGGAGGGTGAAAGTTCAAGTGTTGAAAATGTTCCTTGATTGGATGGATCAAGCCACTCCTATATTATATTTTGGATGTATGAGTCATTTTGGATATTAGAAACATATATATAATATTGGATGCTTTTCATTGTATATGTATATATAATATTGGATATTTAGCACTGTTTGAGACATTTTTGTGCGTGTATATATTTTTGATTTCAATGTGATATATTGAGAAATTATTGTGTGAGATGTGCATATTAAATGTAAGTAGGTAGATATTTAAAATAGCTAAAATTAAAAAATACTTGCAAACGGTTTCACCCGTTTGGGCAATTTTGACAACCCAAACGTGTAGATATTAAATGTAAGTAGGTAGATATATTAAAAAATTATTGTGTGAGATGTGTATATATTTTTGGTCCAAACGGTTTCACCCGTTTGGGCAATTTTGACAACCCAAACGGTTGTAACCGTTTGGGCAAAATCCCAAACGGTTACAACCGTTTGGGATTTTGCCCAAACGGTTACAACCGTTTGGGTTGTCAAAATTGCCCAAACGGGTGAAACCGTTTGGACCAAAAATATATACACATCTCACACAATAATTTTTTAATATATCTACCTACTTACATTTAATATCTACACGTTTGGGTTGTCAAAATTGCCCAAACGGGTGAAACCGTTTGCAAGTATTTTTTAATTTTAGCTATTTTAAATATCTACCTACTTACATTTAATATGCACATCTCACACAATAATTTCTCAATATATCACATTGAAATCAAAAATATATACACGCACAAAAATGTCTCAAACAGTGCTAAATATCCAATATTATATATACATATACAATGAAAAGCATCCAATATTATATATATGTTTCTAATATCCAAAATGACTCATACATCCAAAATATAATATAGGAGTGGCTTGATCCATCCAGTCAAGGAACATTTTCAACACTTGAACTTTCACCCTCCACCTTCAATTCAACTTGGACCTCAGGAGCTGCACTTGCATCACCTTCAACCTGCACATTCGACGCAGTCTCGGGTTCGGAAGGAGCAAAAGCCTCTACAATTGGAGAACTCTGAGGCTCAGAAATAACTGCAGCCTCTACAATACTTGCAGGCTTGAACTTGCCGATATAGTAACTGAGTGGAGGTCCAGAGTACTCTGTACTCTGAACTTGAGGCGCTTTTTTGTCGATTTGGAGAAGAATTGCCGATGCTGCAGCGACTGATATTAGAGCTAAACCAACGGTGATGACTGCAGTGTTCTCTGCTCCTGATGATGATGTGCCTGCTGATCCAGAACTTATCGCACTTTCTCTGCGCCTGATACGCCTATATAGGGCTTCTAAAATGCGGTTCTTTATAATATCATCTCCTGAAAGACCTGATATAAAAAATTGATTCTGGCAAAAGCAACCAGTGGAAATTGCAAACAGTTAGAGCACAAGCGTTAAAAATAATGTCATCTTAATAGCATGGTGCACCAAGGAAACCACAAGCAATTTATTTAACATTAAAAATATGTGCACCGTAATAATAAAAAAAGGCAAACCTCAATGTATATAAAGTGAAACAAAGGTGAATTGTACAGATTGAATACCTAGCCTTACTCCAAAATGGAAAGACGTGAATGTATAACATCTGTTTGTAAGTGAAACAAAGGAATTGTACAGATTGAATACCTAGCCTTACTCCAAAATGGAAAGACGTGAATGTATAACATATGTTTGTAAGTTCAAAAACTTTATACTACTTAACCCAAAGCATGTGTAAATACCAACATGGTCGGTATACAAAACATGACTGATTCTAAGTTAAAAAAGTAGCACAGACAAGGTTATAAAACTAACAATTATAATCAATACAGCATACAGACAAAATATCAAGAACTTAATGCTTGTGGTTTTCTCCTTGTGTATTCGAAGATAAATAACTTTTCAAGAGATAAAAAGAAAGTGCAAATATTATCAACATAAAATTAAAATATTTATATAGCTAGATTCAGGTTTAAACAGGAAATAAGCTAAAAAGGAAATCAAATAATTATTTGAAGCTGTGAAAGAAAATAGTTTTTCAAAAAAGCAGCTCACATGGGTCAATAACTTACCTGAACATACTTCATAAGTGATGTTGTCTTCCTTAACATTAAGCATACAACCACCTAGAGTAACAAAATTGTAGACTATTATTTAGAAGTTTAAACAACGTAATCTTTTAAACAAAATATGGAAATTTCATGTCACCTTGCTGAAGTATCCAGACAATAAGGAATTGTGTGTATGGTTTGGTTCAAGAAAGGAGAATAGCAGATCCATCAGCTGCCAAAGTGAAACAATAGTTAGTGGGGTAGCTAGAAAGTGATATATTCTGTAGAACAGATCAAATAATTATTAGCAGAGGATTTGCAAGAACAATTGTCAATCAGCTACCTCTTCGTCCTCTACTAATGTCTTCAAAATAACATCAATCTCACAAGTGAAAATTTCACAAGCAATGAAAGGGAACCTGGTTCACAAAATAACTTAGAATCGGGGATCTGGTCACCGTAGAATTAACCTAGAATTTTACCAATCCACCAAATCCAGCAAATTAACCTAGAATTCAAACGTAGACACAAATCGAAGTTCTATTAGTTATTGATACTCACCGGAGACGAAGCAGAGAAGTTGGGGATTCTCCAAAACTTCTTCAAGTGACGAATCGGGGATCTGGTCACCGTCGACGAGAGAAGAATCAGAGTCCGCTTGAGAAATTGAGGGGATTGAGGAAGAAGAAGAGCGAGAGCAGCCAGAAAAGGGGTCTCAAGAGAGCGAGAGAAACCCTAGATTTTGGGAGAGGGGGGCATTTTTTTTTTTTGGTTTGAAAGAGGTGGAGGCGGATTTGAAGGTGGGCTGAGATATTAATTTGGGGATGAAAATTTGGCGCTGCCGGTCCTGGGTGAAAATTTTGGGCGCCACTCCTGAAAAGTTTGGGGAGAACAAGCGGGTCAGAAAATATTAATTACAAAATTATTTTTTAAAAACCTTAATATTGCTCCCAAACGGTTGAACCCGTTTGGGTTAAAATATCCCAAACTGTTTAAACCGTTTGGGAGCTCTGTTTGGGATTTTTTAAATGCCCAAACGGTTTTAACCGTTTGGGATATATTAGCCCAAACGGTGTTGACCGTTTGGGCTATTTTGACTTGTCCAAACGGTTCTTAGAACCGTTTGGACAGACCCATTTTGTACTAGTGTGTACTAAATAAATATTTTCTGCAGAAAACTACAGCAATTATATCATGTTTAACTGAGATTTCGAAATAAAAAATAAAGTCCAAATTTAACCAAACCAGTGCCAAATGAAAGATATGTGTATCTAGTTTCTAAAACAGAAGACTAATTTTAAAAATCATTTCTATAGAGAAAGATATGATCTTTTACTAACAACATATCCTGTAGAAAAACGGCTGCACATATATAATGTTTAACTAGAGATTTGGGATAATAAATGAACTCCAAACTAAACCAAACTTATGTCATTTGAAAGATGTGTGATTCTAGTTTTCAAAAAAGAAAATCATTCTTAAAAATCATTTGTATAGAGAAATATATGATCTTTTTACTAACAACATATCCTGTAGAAAAATGGCTGCATATATATAATGTTTAACTAGAGATTTAGGATAACAAATGAACTCCAAACTGAACCAAACTTATGTCATTTGAAAGATGTGTGAATCTAGTTTTCAAAACAGAAAACTATTTGTAAAAATATTTCTCCTAGAGAAAGATATGTTTGTTTTACTAACAGATATCACGTCTATTTTTCCTGCTCATTTTGTGGAGCTGTGTTGCGCCGTTTTGAGGTGCGTTCGCGGAGTTTTGAGCCACTTGATGTCATACATATAGTCATGAATATGTTATGTTATACATTTAATAATCCCAAGGTGATTATGATGAATTTTAATTTGATCATATTTGAATTAGATATAGTTCATATACATGTTGGATGTCGTTAATGAGCACATCTTAGTACTATATGGAATAGTACGTCGACACACCAGATATACATGGTTTATACATGAGGTAACTATTATTGATGATCATAGCTCAGTATTATATGGGATAGTGCATCGACATGCCAGAGGTACAAAGATTTATATGAGGTGGATATCGTTGATGAGCTCAGTTCAGTACTACATGAGGTAGTGCGTCGATATTCCATATGTACAGGCCATTGAGTCGGATTTTAGGAGGCTTGATCTAGCCATCCATCCTACACTAGGGTGTGATGAGGCTCGTGAGCCGTATTTCTAGGATGCCTATTTGGTAGTCCGTCCCGCACTCATGTTATGCACTGAGATCGCGATGAGACTAATGAGCCGTGTACACAGTTCAGATCTGTATTTCTAGGATGCCTATTTGGTAGTCCGTCCCGCACTCATGTTACACACTTGAGGCTCGTGATCTGTATTTCTAGGATGCCTATTTGGTAGTCCGTCCCGCACTCATGTTACACACTGAGATCGCGATGAGACTAATGATCCGTGTACACAGTTTAGTATACCTACAGGGTAGTCCATTGCACTGAGACAGTTACTTGATAGCTTACGTATGGTAGATGCTGATTATGAATATGACCTATCATTGAACTATATGACTGAGATATGTTACTTTTGAAAGTATACAAAAATTATGTGTTAGTATTTTATTCTATCTCTCCAGTGATAGTGGAAGATATTATAAATACGATGTGTTGATATCTTATTTCTTTTACTGTCTTTTTTTTACTTCTTAGTTGGGATCAATGATTAGAGATATCTACAATTTGAGACTTATGATATATACATGAGGGTTTCCTTGTTTGGATTATTTCGCTCGACGTACCAGTCTCGTATTATGGATTTCTAATT